TAAATTAAAATACAAAATAATTTTATTTTCTTTGTTACTAAAACTAGAAAATAATATAATTTTATTTTGCTGTTACTAAAACTAGAAAAATAAAATACAAAATAATTTTCTGTAACACCAAATAATATTCTGCAATTGTTAATGACACCAGTATATTACTACTAGTTTCAAAGAAAAGAAGACAGTATATTACTACTATCTGTCAAATAGCATAAATCACTATTTATTTTTCCAACCAGAATATTAGTTTGAAACACAGAAAATTAAATACAATGAAGATATCAAAAAGGATTCTGTCTTAAGATTGTTGGACAATCTTCACTGTATTTAAAAAGATTAAATTTTGTTGTGTACAAAACAACAACAAGATATAAAGAAATAAGAAAGGAAGAGAATTTGTTTGATTACAAAAATCAAACTCGAAATAATAAATAATTAAATAAAACCACAGATTTTTATTTTGTACAAAACAAAAATAAAATCTGATTAAATAACAAATAAAATAGAATAAAATAAACAACTTACTTGGTTAATTTATTTGAATAACTTTTCTGATCAAGTCAGTGTTTAACACTGTGTCCTTAAGACAGATTCGTCATCTCACGGTACTTTCAGAATTTGGACGTCTATCTCTAGGATAAAATGATCTTATCACGAATAAAGGCAGCACTACAATTTAATCGTTCGTCGAACACAAAAAGTGTTTACACTCTTTCTTTCAGAAATAAAATGTAGCAAAATGCAGAGATTTAAAGCAGAGGATGGAGTACGAAAATTGGAGTAAAATCCAAATGGGAGGCTAGTTTATTTATAGATGTAAAGGTGCTCTTGGTTTTGAATTGAACAGGTATGAACCTGTTAGTTTCAAATTTAAACAGATTTGAATCTGTTGGGTTAATAAATCAAAACGGGAAGGGCCCTGTTGGATGTACAGAAAATCCAAATCATTTTAATTTGAATTCTGGATTTTATTTTACCAAAAAATAAAATTAAATTCAAATGTTTTTGGCCCAAAAAAGATTAGTATTGGGCCGAACAAGCCCAACCCAACCACGCACCCGCGCGCTCGACCGGACGGACGGCGGCAGCGCGCGCGTGTGTGGTGATTTTTTGGTCCATGGGTCTAGCCCATTTTGCCCATAACCTCTCCCTCTAAAACACTTGGTACCCCTTGGGGCACACCCCAAGTACCAAACCCATGCCTTATAAACCTTTTCAAACTTCCCCCAATCAATGTGGGACAAGCCATTTTACAACCTTAAGGAATTTCCACCAAAACTCCATTTCATGAGCACACTTTGGCTTCAATTTTCCATTCACTCGGTAATGGTTTTGAACAACCAAATATACCACGTGAATCACAACGCGGCATAGAACGCGTTACACTTTGACCCGAGTAAATCGACACTCGGGGCCCACCTAAAAAATAGACCAAACTTGAGAAAAAATTCTGATTTACCCAGAATTTTTCTACCATTTCCAACAATATTTTGTTAGGATTGACTTTTTTTGATTTTGTAACCAATTTATCTTTTTGTGAAAAAAACCCCGCCCCTCTCTCTCTCTCTCTCTCTCTCTCTCTCTCTCTTTCAAGACCCAATTTCAAAAGATACCCAGATCTCAAATTCCTCTCCAACATCAAAATCGATCATTAATCATTTTATGGGTTCGAACTTCAGCGATGGATATATTTTATCCTCAGCCAAACACTGATTAATGAACATCAAAAAATACCATAAAATAGAACATCACTGTGTTAACCATCATGAACATCAAACATTAAAGAGAGAGAAAGCAGGTCAATGGTTTTAGCTGAGGGTGAAAAGGCAACACAGACAAATTAGAATTTTCAATTTTGTGAATTTGTAGTCAAAACCTAAAAATTGATCGCTTCTATGGCCTTTTCTATAACTATCCTCAAACATCAAACATCAAAAACATCTTAGATCGAATTCGAGCCCCCCCCCCCCCCGCCATCGTCCCCCACCCCCCCATCCACCATCCCCATCCACTCACCACCACCCACCACCACCCGCCATTCGCCATCCACCTGCCACCACCACCCACTCGCTACCACTCACCACCATCACCCACTCATCCACCACTACCACCCACCTGCCATCCGTCACCCACCTGCCACTACCACCACCCACCGCCACTACCACCACCACCCACTCGCTACCATCCACCACCCGCCACCGTCACCCACCCATCCACCACCACCACCACCCACCCACCTGCCACCACCCACCACCACCAGCTACCCATCACCTACCGTCACCACTTTTCACTACCGTCTTCCGCCGCCACTTGCTACCACTTGCCATTTCTCACTCTTTTTTATACTTTTAATTTTTTTTAAACATTTTATTAATTATCAAACGCGTTTGTAGTTTATGTTTTTCTAAAAATAAACAAAAATCAGTTTATAAAATTTTTGTAAATATAAACTGAAAACGTAAACGTTATCAAACACACACATAATGTTCAGTGTGAATATTCTCACTTACAACTTTCAAACTTGTTAAAAATTAAAATTGTGAAGTTCACACTTACAATTTTGATGTCAAAATTTTTAAATGTGAATATTTACTGTTACAATAATTTACATTATATATGTAGTAGGACTTTTTATTAAAAAATTCAAAATAACATGACGAAAATATTAAGTTCATCAATTTTCAATAGGTATATAATAGACAGATGCAAAATATAATGATGATTAGGCATTTCAACCCACCTTACTTCTTGTGATACTGTTGAATTTCTATTATGGGACAACTCATTTCGCTTCTTGTGATGTTGAATTATTCGAAGTGTGTGTAAATTGGTCCGTGCATTTAATTATTAAATAAAATAAAAAATAAAAAATAAAATTGGCTTCAATGTGTTGCAAAGATGACAGTAGTGGATTTTGTGAGGCTTTGAAATGGCATTAATGGTGAATCTTATGTTTCACATGGATATGATCTCTTGAACTAATCCCTAAGATGTCTCCGAAAATTTTGATTTATGGGACTAAAATCTTTTAACTGTCATTAATACAATATATAAATTTTTTTAGCACGTCATTAATACAATATTGATAGATGGTTTTTTCGGTTATTTCCTATGCCATGGGACTTATTGGGTAATTCCTTATTTTAATTAGAATAATATATATATTTTAATTTCTCAACTTATCATCGTATTTTTCTGGTCCATTGCTCAAATTAACAGAAAATCTTAATTTAAATGAAATGATGAAATTAAAATTAACATTATTCAAATAAAAATTTAAATTAAATTACACTGACCTTTGAAGTTTGAAAAAAAAATACAATAAATTTTATAATTTTAACATAATTACACTGACTTCTATTTTAATAATATTAAATGGGCCGAGTGTAATTCCAATGATGCGAAAACATAAAAATAAATAACTTGGAGTATATATTTTTTCAGTCATATAATGAATAAATTATTAATGAAAATGTGACTAAATGTTATATAAATTAAATTTTTTAAAAAAATATATAATTACATTAAAATTATGAAATTTACTGTATTATTTTTGAAAGTCAAAATCAATCACCTAGAATAATGCAAATAAGTTGATAGGACTCATTATTTACCTAAAAGTTGGCCTGGTTTGGAAAGAATGATAAAGTCAAAACGTTACAAGAAGTTAACTATTTTGTCGCAAGAAATCAAAAAATGATTTAAAAGTCAAATTTACAAAACACTCTTTTTATGTGTGGTTAACTTTGCGATCGATTGTCGGATTTCATTTGTCAAAAAGCTCTATTTTAATTAAAAAAAAAGTTAATATAAATTATCATATTATTATCATATTTTTTTATAAAAAATAAAAAAGACAATAAAATAATCAATTCTTAAACAAGTATTATTCAAAAAATAAAATACAATACTAAGAACACAAATTTAAAACACAAAATAAAACAGAAAGGTTCCATTTCGGTTTGGTTTATTTTTCGAAACAAGATTTGAATTTTGAGTTGTATTTTGAAAAATAAGTTGTTAAAAAGAGTTTTGAAAATAAAAAAATTTTTTGGTTATGAATTTTGAAAATAATTTTGAGATGATTTGTAATTTATTTTTTTGTAATTGAATAGATGGGCTTAAAAAAAATTTAATTGATTGATATGTATAATATGAGAGAATGAGAGAGGAGAGAAAAAAATAACAATTGATTGATTTATTAATATAATAAAAAAGAAAGAAAAAATAATTTAAAAAATTTATTAATCAGACATATTTTTTAATTTTTTGGTCAAAATATTAATTTAAAATCTAAATCAAACACTAAAATAATTCAAAAAGTGTTATGAACCTTTATTAGGATAAATTTTTGATAACTAGATTACATTATTTATTTATTTTACACATTTTTTTCAAAAATAATTAAAAATAATTAAAAAATTAACTTCTTTTTTTTTTTTTTTTTTCTTAATTTTTCAAATAAGCCAAATATCTGTTCCTTCAACCCCTCCGCTAAGTTCCGGCGGCGTTTTTCAGTAATCATACCTTAAAAATGGGCAAATTACATATACCTCATCGAGGTTTGGCTAAATTACAGATACTTCCCTGAGGTTTCGGAAATTACATCCCGCCCTCTGAGGTTTGTATTTTCATAACAATTTATCCCATGAGGTTTATATTTCATAACAAATTACCCCCTAATTTTTTATGCAAATATAACATTCAGGGAGAAATTCGTAATTTCTCAAACCTCAGGGATATCTGTAATTTAGCCAAACTTCGAGGGGTATATGTAATTTGCCCCTTAAAAAAAGTTTGTATTTACATTGAAATTGGAGGTTTATTTATATTTATTATAAAAGCAAGCCAAAAAAAAGCAAAAAGCAAAAAGCAAAAGCAAAAGCAAAATAAACTTGTCCCAAACAACTGCCACGTATACAGCCTTATCCATTTCACAACTCCCCTTCACCGAACCTGGCCCAAACACACCACTCTCACTCTGTCACACCGTTTCTCAGTCTCTCTCTCTCTCTCTCTATGGCGACCCCTTTCACCTGTTTCAGCCCATCCCCAATCCTCTCTTCCTCCGCCGCCTCCAACCACCGCAAACCAGATCCAAACAGCCGCAAACCACCACCCTCCTCCTCATCCAATTGGTGGACCCCACTCTTCGGCTGGTCCTCAGATCCAGAGTACATCAACAACCCCAACACCACCACTACCAACAACAACAACAACAACAAGAGAAAGAAGAACAATAACGAACCGGTTTCAGATATTTATGAATCGGCCGATTCGGAGGCTGGACGCTCCAGATCTCGGTTCAATCCGGGATGCTTCACGGAAGATAAGGCCAAGCAGCTCCGGAAGAAGACGGCGGAAACGGCGGCGTTTCACGACATTATGTATCACTCCGCGATCGCGTCTCGTCTTGCCTCCGATATTTCGGACCTGTACGATTTTTAGTATTAGCCGGAGATCTCGACGCCGGTATTAATGTCGGTGTGTGTTGCTCTGGTCTTTTGCAATTTGTCGACTTCGAATTTCGGATATCGTTTTGGTTTTTTTAAGTTTCGGTGTCTGAGTTTGTTTGTTTGTTTTTGTTTTTTTAAATTTTAAATTCAGCTGGGAATTGTTAATGTAGTTGTAATTTGCACCGTCCGATCTTTGATCCAAAGGCAGTGGTTTATCCACTGTAGCTCATAAATCGTGATCAATTATGAGATACGATCCTACTACTCTATGATTTTAATTGTTTTTTTTAAAAAAATATTTTTAATTAAATTATTTGAAGTAGATTAAATATCAGTAATTATATAATTCAAATACATTTGTGTTAAATCATTTGAAATGATTTCGAGAATGTGTAATTCATTTTCTTAAAACAAGTATGTGATCCAATCCAATTGATTTTTTTATACAAACAATTAAAGATAAACCATTCGAATCCCCATGTTAGATCCAAAGAGAGCCCACAACTCATGAATGAATTGAACCTTAAGGTTGGGTTTAATTCAAAAATGAAAATTAAGGTTGTTTTTAATTCAAAAATAAAAATAAAAAATAAAAAGGGCACGAAATATAAATAAAATATAATTACATTTTATATATTTTTCACAACCTTTTTGCTTTATTTTTTTTTTAATTTTTACTGAAAATCATGATTCAAATACAACATTAATGATTCAAACATAACAGTAATTGGAGGAAAGCTTCTTTCATGCCAATTTGGAAGCTTGGTAAAAAATCAGTTTTTTGGCTAGAAAAAACAACAAAAAAAAGCCTACTTTTTTAGCCAAAAAAAAGTCACAAAAAAATCAGTAAGTCAATTTTTTTATCTACTTTTCAAAACACTAATTTCTTATATATAAACAAATTTCTTATATTTATTAATGTGAATTTAAACAAATTTCTTATATTTACCAAAAAGCCAGCTTCTTATATATAAACAAATTTCTTATCTAATTTTTACACAAAAATATGAGTTTCACTTATATTTATTAATGTGAATATGAATTTTATTTTAATTTTTGGATTATAGACACAATAATTTTTGAGAGAATTATTAAAAAAAAAAAAAAAAAAAAACTTAGCATTTGACCCTTATAACAAAATAATCTTTGAGTTTTTAATTTTATCAATTTAAAATTTTATTTTTTATTTTTTTTCAATCAAAATTATTTACCTATTTTCGTTAAGTAAAATTGATTAAAAAAGAATATATTAAGTCATTAAATTCAACGAAAAAAGATAATTCAGATATTTTAATACATCTACGTTGAGTTTGATGACAAAAAATATACTTTTTATATCAGTTTCACTTAACAAAAATAGGCGAATAATTGATATTGAAAATTGAAAACAAATTAAAATATTATAGTTTAAATTAATAAAATTAAAAATTTAAGATTTATTTTATTATAAAGGTCAAATCTTGAATTTTTTAAGAAAAATTAGTAAAACATCTCTCTTCAACTTTGTGTAGTAGAAGAATTCTAATTGTTATTAGTTAAGGTTCCTCAACATTTTCACAGAGAAAAATTGACTCAAAGAATGCCCAACTCACAGAAATTTCATCCGATTCAGAGAAATGTCGGCCCTGACTCAAAGAAATTTAAATTTCTTTGGTATGATCACAGAGAAATTTTGAAAATTCTCTGAGTTGGGCAAAATTTCACCGAATCAAATTTTTTCTGTAAAAATATTAACAGACCTTAACCATTATAAAAATATTTTATATCTTTTATCTCATAAATTCTTAATATCAAAACCTTAAAAAAAATTCCCTAGCACGTTGATATTCCTTTGTTTCCAAATCCTGTTTGGAATGTCGTCAAGAATAGAAGCATAAATACACATAATTTGGGCATATAAAAGTTCCTGTTTTATATCAATTTGATGTTTATAATTTTTGTGGTATTAATTTTATTTTATTTTTTGTTAATTTAGTCAAATTTAATCTAGATGATAACGCTTTTTCAAAAATTAGATTAAAATCAACGAACAAAATAGAAGTAGAAATACACATAATTTAGGCATATAAAAGGTCATGTTTTATATCAATTTAATGTTTATAATTTTTGTTGTATTAAATTTATTTTTAATTTTTTTAATTTTGTGTCAATTTAGTTAACTTTGATTTAAATGATAACGCTTTTTCAGAAATTGGATAAAAATCAACAAAAAAAATGGCTAATTCACTTTTCTCAAAATAATTGAGAAATTAACATCTAAATTGAAATAGTTCATTCATTTTTAAATGAATCATTTTTTTTTTGGGTTCAATTTTTTAGCAGATATTATTAATTAAACTAGCTTGACACAATGTAAAAAATTAAATGATAAAATTAATATAGTTAGAACTACGTAGACTAAACTAATATAATAATTAAAATACAAAGACAACGAGTATAAATTTTTCTTATAAGAAAAAATTAAAAGTGTACTTCAAATTTTTGCCAATTACTTTATAGATAAGTGTTAGAATATACAATTTAGGATTTACTTGGGGATGCGGATTGGCTTTTTGATTTTTTTGTTTATTTTAGTTTGGGGTTAAAAAGTCTCGTTTGGGATAAGTTTTTTGATTTTTTTGACTTTTGTGAGAGAAAAAATATAATAATTATAAGTTGAATGTGATATTTTGTCTTACTGGATTAAAAAGCTTATTTCGTTTTTTTTTACTAAAATAGCCAAAATATCCCGGGCTTTTTTTTTATGCCAAACGAACCCTATGACACTTATTTCTATCCACAATGATGTGAAAGAGAATTTGACTTTATATGAGTGTCACAAATAAAAAATTGACACTTATTATGTCACATCATTGTGGGTTAAATTGTGAGGCTCTTAAAAAAAAACTTTCATAATTTTTCTAACAATGATGCGGTATAATAGCTGTCAATTTTTAATTTGTCATATATTCAAACATATGGAGCTAGGGGTGTACACGGTCCGGATTGGTTCGGTTCTGAGAAAATCTAAGAATCGAACCGATCTTAATGGTTCTGTGATTTTGAGAACCAGACCAGACCATTACACTTGTAAAACCGGACCAGAACCAAACCGAAAAAACGGTTCGGTTTCGGTTTGGTTTACGGTTCCAAAAATTTCTATTTACAAGAATAAATTGTTAATAGTAGCAAAATAATTACTTAAACTAATTACATTTAACTCTTGATAAAAACTAATAATATTAAGGCATTACTTAATATTACATATCTATACCATCCTAATACCATTAAAATTATAAAAAACCAATTAATAAAGATAAAACTTGATATTATATTTTATATATATATATATCTTTCAAAATTCGGTTCGGTTCGGTTCGAACTGCGATTTTTTCATGAAATCCATTAACCGAACCGTTTTTACGGTTCTCGTATTTCTAAATCTGAAACCGAACCAATTCTTAATGGAACCGAACCAAACTGTATGATTCGGTCTGGTTCGGTCCGGATTACCGGTTTGAACGGATTTTTGAACAGCCCTATATGGAGCCCAACTCTCTTATCACATTATTATGAATAAATTTAAGAGTTTAAATTGTAGGTCTCAAACATTTATCTAGTTTTTGATATTTGTGGACTACCAAACAAAAGAAATGTTAGAAAGATACAAATTTATTCACAATTACGTGATAAAAAGATTCAACCTATATAATTGAGAATGTAATAAATTAAAAATTAATATCTGACTTATGGGTATAATTATAATTTTTTTTGGTTGGAAATGTCAAACATTTTCCACCAAATTATTGCTTAAAACCGTGTGCTTTTCTTGGTAGGTTTATCCTAAACGGTGTGCCTAGGTAGCTTCTGTTTTTAGACACCAATGGAGGGTCATGTGATCTGTAAATATGCTCTCATGTGATATGTAAGTTGTGTTTTGTCGTCAACCAAATAAATTAATTTTTAATATTTTATCTAATTAAGTTAAAGAGTTAAAATTTTATTTGTTACTAAGGCCTCGTTTGGAAACTGACTAATTTAGTAATTTTTTTGTTATTTAGTTAAAATATGAGCTAAAAAAATTAGTATATTTGGAATGACTTTTGGATTTTTACGAAAAAAAGTGCAAAAAGTAAAGAGAAATTTTTTTTTTTAACTTTTTGATATGAGTTGTTAACTTTTTGATTTTTTTAATAACTTTTTAGCTAAAAAAGTCACTTGCCAAATGACTAAAAAAATTCAAAAGTTACTCAAGGTCCTTTTTTTTATTTATTTATTAACTTTTTCAAATGTATTAGCCCTTTTAAATTCAACATTTTTAGATTCTAAAAATAAATAAAAAATCTTTAGAAAGAGAAGCTTTCTTAAACAACTTATTTCTTTCTAGGCACTGCTAGAAATATCAACAAAATTACTTAAAAAATTATACACCACGCACATGAGAGGATGGCCTATATAGTGTAAGATTCACATTCATGTGAGTGCAGTTTTTTTTTGATAATTTTGTATGTATACAGTATTTTTTATTGTTTTATGCACCTTTACTTGGCCTAGTTTGGCAACTTCGCTAAAATAATTAAGAAGTTAAACAAAAAATAATAATTTAAAAAGTCAAAAAATTATTATAAAAAAATTCAAATATCTCAGCAATTTAAGATTTTCGATATAACTAAAAAAAATTATTTCTAAACATATTGACATTTTTTTATCTAAAAAAAAATTAAAAAATCACTAAAAAAATTTATTTCTCAAACAAAGCCTATGGCCAGGAAATATAACATTGGGTACTAGCTTGTTTTGTTGTCTAGTTGGAATTGGGTGGGCCGTTGCACACAGTTTCATTGAAGCCCAAAAATTTGGGCTTGAACAGGAATAATTCGGACTGCCCATTTTATGTCCAGAATATCCTGGATATGACCCGTCTCTTCAGTCTCACCTTGTGGACTGGATCCTACTCTCCAGGCCTGTGGGCTTCATCTATTCTGATGATCTATTGTGCATAGATATTTCATGGGAAAAAAATTGATCTAAAAATTGTAACCATATTATTTTTTTGTCTAGAAACAAAATGGATTTGTAATTTGAACCGTCCGATCTTTGATCCAAAGGCAGTGGTTTATCCACTGTAGCTCATAAATCGTGATCAATTATGAGATACGATCCTACTACTCTATGATTTTAATTGTTTTTTTTTATAAAAATATTATTAATTAAATTATTTGAAGTAGATCAAATATCAGTAATTATATAATTCAAATACATTTGTGTAATTCATTTTTAATCATTTGAA